AAATGATGCCCTAAACTCCCCATTTGTCTTGGAAAAATGCTTAGGATTTTATTCTCTATCATTTAAGCCCTTAAAACACCAAAAGAATATGTACATAGGAGCTTACAGCCGTAAACTCCTTGTTTAGGGCCGTAAACTCCTTAATTGGTTCATTTGATGCCTTAAATCCATTCATACACTTTATATTTGGACCTAGCAAAATTCCACAAGTGATATAAGACATTTTGGCATCGTAGAACACCCTCACCATGAGTTTACGGCCGTAAACTCATGGGGAGTTAGTCCCAGAGCCATGAACTCTATAAAGAGTTTACTCTTGCAGAGTAAACTCCCTATCTAAGCCATACACACCCTTAAATGTTACCCGCGACACTCCAAGCACTTAACCAAAGTGTTTTCCGCACTTTAGGATGCGTATACATGTTTAATTAGTATTATCTTTACTAATTGTATGTAAACATATGTCATCATATGTTAATAGGTCACTAAGTGTGCTCAAGTCTTTATTTGACACCGAGCACCCAACCGGCACCTTCGTTCGATCCACTTACAATAGGTGAGTTCATACCCCTGAATTAACCTCTTTAATGTTTTTACATACTTTTAGGGGGGGGGGGAGATACAAGTTAAACATGCCAGTTATCATATCAATCACATGTGATTGATAACCCGCATGCACAAGGATTCATTACACTGTTAACTGTTTTACCAAGTATGATACTGTAAATGGTTTTCTAAATGTCTTTACTTATTCAAAGCTTTTCTCAAATTGACACTCGCGTTGTATTTTATATTTCAAACTCTGTTACAACAACATTTTAAACAAAGGTTTTCTCTACTTTATCTAAGTTATAATCAAAACTTGTTTATGAATGATTTTCTTAAAGTACAAAGGTTTTCCAAAGTTTTCATCAAAGTTTTCTTCCATGTTTTTATACTCCTACTTCGTTAGATACTACTGCTTCGTTATACTTCTACCTAGTTAATGCTCCTACTTAGTTAAATACTACTACTTTGTTAACGCTTTTACTTCACGATACGCTTCTACTTGTTAACGCTTTTACTTCACGATACGCTTCTACTTGTTAACGCTTCTACTTCACGATACACTCCCACTTATTATCACTCCTACTTTATTTATGCTACTACTTCGTAAACGCTTATACCTTATTAGCACTTCCACTTTGAGAAACGCTTCTACTTCATAAAATACTTCTACTTTGTTAATGCTTCTACTTAGTTAAATGTATGCCTGTGCTTGTATAGTTATATAAATAATGTTTAAAGGACTTAGGAAGGCTAGTTCGCCCTATTTCATTTTCTTCGTTAAGATGTGGTCTGGTGGGATCGGATATCCGTTCGAAGGTCGTTTGATCAGTAGTTATATATTATGTATACAAGCATAGATATATAGGTTTACATCGATCAGTTCATTTCCCTTGGGTAGCAAGGGCATCCTCCCACTCGTCACTCATAGATCAGAGACACTAGTAACTATTATAGGAATGGTTGGGAGACTCTATCTCTCACTCTCTCTCTCTCTCTATATATATATATATATACATATATATATATATATATATATATATATATATATATATATATATATATCTTACTTTAGAATGTGACACACTATTTCCCACTACGGCGCTTCATTGCGCCAACGCCGTGTAACCAGAGTCTCCGGGAAGGAGAGCGAACATCATGTGTATAGATCTATACGGGACTGACACTCCCACACCCTAACTACTAGCTACAGTCTGCACCGGTAAGGCCTATGTGTGACATGAAGCCACTACTACTGCCACTACCTCTACGCGTGACCTGGAGGGTCATCGGATACTCTATCGTCGATCAGCATGGTTACACACGAGTTCACATTCACTCTTTGTTTTAGACCTTGCTAGACTTATCATTCATTTGATACTGTCTGGGGTCTGTGTTCACTGTTTTTAGACCTTGCTAGATGTATCATTCATTTGATATTGGTTGGGTTCTGTGTTTTCTCTCGTTAGACTGAGTCAGGCGCGTCGTTCATTCGATACTCTCCTGGAGTCTATGATTTCTTTTGCCTTAGTCAGCAGTCTTCACTGCTGAGGCATATGTTATTTTCCCTGATACTCTCCTACTTTCTTTAAAATCAATACCATCTTTTGATAATGATAGTGTTAAGGGAAAAACTACTTTTACAACATAATTCTGTCTAGTCTTGGTAGAAGATTGCTTTTAAATCAGAAAATATAGGATTTTCTGGAAAGGACTCTAATTCACCGTGTACTCTAAAAACTACTACTTATATAAAGTTATATGGATAAAATGACACTAAATACTTATGAACTCACCAGCATTTGTAAAAATGCTGATACTCGCTTTCAAATAACTTGTATTCTCAGGTCAGTAATAGACAGGTACATCTCAAGCTCTTTTGGTGAAGACCGTTTAGTACCAAGCTGCATCTACATTATTACCTGTATTACTTTGAAGTTTCTATGTAATGTAAGTCATGTAAAACTATTACTATTAATGCAATGATTGTTGTACTTTGATTACTATACTGCACATGTTGTGATACTTGACATGACGTCATCCACCCCAGAACGTTTCCACCGTTCCGGTTTTGGGTTGTGAGAATTACTGCTAACTCCGTTATGTTTTGTCTGTTAACTGAAGGGCATTTTCGTCATTTCACTACCACAGGGACCATATATGATATTTTTCCTTACTTAAAAAAAATAAAAATAAAAATAATTGTTTAATATAAAAGGGTCCCACCCCTCTGTGTGTGTGTGTGTATGTGTGTGTGATAAACACCCAAGAGCATCCCGCCTAAAAAATATCCCTGAAATAAAAACCATAACAAAATCTGGGTTTATTCTTGAGTTAGCCACTAAAAATCATGCCAACCTCTCCATCTTCATCTTCATCTAAAAACCATCCTAAGCAAAACATACATATTTCATCTTTTTCTAACAGGTGCCATAACAACACCTTCCTTCTGAAAGTCTGATACATACACCTGTTATGTAAATCAAGTTCGATGGCCAGATCAGAAGTGGATACATCTTCCATGGAGGGGGTTTTATAGTGGAGAATGGAGTAGTTTCCGTTTATGATTCAGATCTAGTTTAGGCATGCGTTTCAAATAAGAAATCGATTCAGATCCGGTTTAGATTTATGTTTCATATAAAAAATCGATTCAGATTAAGATTATGTTTCAGATTAAGGGGGTAGTTGTGAATGGTTTCTAGGTTCAAAATCAGAGCAGAAGATGATGAGGGCAGTTGAGGAAAAGAACTTCCACCCTGCCTCCATTAACACAAAGAAGGTGTGTGAATCTTGCATCTTCCTTCATTATTATCGAATCAGACCACACCCCTCCCTTCTTTAGAATTAGATGGGAAAAACCCATGAATGCCTAGTCAGAATCACCATTGTAACCACCAACGAACACCACTACTACAACAACCAGCGATCATCGTTGCTGAAATCCCTAATGGGGTTTCAAACCTGCAAAAACAACCCAAATCATAAATGGGTGGTGTGTGATGGAGCAGATCTAAAACGCATGAATGCCTCGCTGGAAACTGTTACTCAAGGTATAGACAAATGAGAAAAGCAAATCAATTTACTGGTTGCCGGGTGGTGGTTTTGATTGGTATGGGTTTTGAATAAATTTGATATGGGATGAAAATTAAAGAAGACGATGAGAGAGAGAGAGAGAGAGAGAGAGAGAGAGAGAGAGAGAGAGAGAGAGAAAGATCTTTTATATATTTAATTATATATATTTTTTCTTTTTTTTTTAAAATATGAGAAAACATCATAAATGGTCCATGTGGTTGTGAAATGACGAAAATACCCTTCAATTAACAGAGAAAACTTAACGGAGTTAGCAGTAAGGACCAATTATCAAAAGTTTTGAAAACATAGGGACCATTTATGACGTTTTTAAACTATAGGGACTAAACTTCAAATTTTGAGAAACCATAAGGACCATTTATGATGTTTTTTCTTTATTAAACAATCTTTTTTCACATGTTTTCTTGTTTCTCTTTAAGTGAAACTTCCAAAAAAAACTTTAGGTTAGCAATGTTTTTACGGTTTTTTCATACATACATTTTTTTCCTTCCAATTTTACCCCATACTTTTTATGCAACTTATTAATGAAATAAGATTCAATCTTTTAATGCAAATTTGAAGTTTTTTCTTGAAATTAACAATTTCTAAAAAAAAACTTTTATATGTACTAGTATGTCTCTTTTGAGGAGTAAGCTAAGCACAATATGTGTACTAGTAAACATAATAATAGAGATTCTTTTAGGTGCAAGACATGACACTTATCGTAAATGACGTTGATTGTATACAAGTACAGTTAATGTGACATTAATCAAAATACATTTTTATGATTAAAGTAGCATTGATTATAAAAAATATTACTTATTTCAATGCTAAGTAGCATACATGACTACAAGTTCAAGACTCCTTATTACCATTCTTTTCATATCATTTTATAAGACGGACAACGAAAAATGTTTAATAATAAACATGAGAAAAAGTTGATAAAATGTATAAAAAAATAAGGTGAAACTAAAAATAAAAGTGCTCAGGTAAAAATATATATATATATATATATATATATATATATATATATATATATAGGAGTAGGATCAAATGAGAAGACCAAAAAGGTTGAGAACGCGAGAACAATTATCAGCCAATCATTTTATTAGGGTATTTAAGTAAATTTGTATTTAATCTATTTTTTAATTAATATAATACAATTAATAATCAATATATTATCCATTAATATTTTCTTATAATTAAGGGATATTCTATAGTTATCGTTCAATGAGATATTGAAGTGAAGATACGATGTCCAAGGACCATTCGTGTATAGCAATCGAGTATAGCAATCGGATTTTCAGTCGAATGTTGTATATTGTTAATCATTTACGTTTGAAGATAACAACGCAGTATACCATTCGTGATTCAAATCAATATCGATGTCGGACTGTTTTGATTACAGTAGCGATGATACAGAAGATGATGATCAATATGGCGAAGAAGACGTCAACTGTAATGAATATGACGACGACAATTTCTATAAGTCTGATGATCAATTCGACGGAAGAAATCAAATCTCTGATTATGCTGGTGAAGGTAACTAATGAAAACAATGTCAATATCTTGTAATTACAGATCGTGTTTTTCAATAGTTATTGAGTTTTTGTATATGTTGAATAAGACCGAGTACATATTTGTATATGATTAGTCATATACGTTGCATGTATTAATTACTTAATGATGGTTTATATCACATATCGTTGTACAGGAGTCCCTCGTTGGTGATTTTTTCTTAAGTTTAATACAATGTTGATTAAGTACGATAATCATTGGTGATTATGCGTTAATACGACTCAAACATGTAAACAATTCAACTTTGGTTACTGTTTCACATACGTTTATTATGATTATAAAGTTCTTTAGTTTATGTATACGTAATTCATAGAAATTTATATTAGGTTTTGCATGTCGCATTATTGTTTTTTGTTGTCTTAAAAAACAAGTACAAATCAAACTGATTCTGAAGAGGAATCATTCAATAGTAATGTTGTTGACTCGCCTGGTGGGAAAACCATGTTGTGGAAACCTATTGTTCCTAAAGATTTTATGCCAGATGTAGATGCTATATATCAATCATTAGAGGAGGCGGTTGAAATGTATAAATTATATGCAGATAAAGCAGGTTTTGGTGTCAGGTTAAATACAGTAACGAGGTTTGGTGACAAAACCATTAAAAAAAGGTATGTAGTGTGCAACAAAATGGGTAAAATACCTAACAGGTCAACTGACACTTTGGATCCTGAGGGGAGTGGAAGGAATAAACGAAACTCAAACTTCAAAATTACGGACTGCAAGGCATTGATAAAGTTTGAAAGGTTACATATGCAAACTAATGCTTGTAAAATATATGAGTTTGAAGAGAATCACAACCACCCCCTAGAGACTAAAGAAGAAAGACGGTATTCCAAACGTGCACGACGACTTAGTTACAAAGACAAGGAGTTTATAGTGCGTTCTTCAACATCTAACATTGGTGCAACAAAGGCACACAAGTTACAAGCTAGTTTGCAAGGAGGTTATGAAAACGTTGGCCCTGAATCAATTGATTATAAAAATTTCAGAAGGAAGGTGGGAAACATTATAGGTGACAAGGATGCACAGCTGGTTGTTGACAAAATGAACATGAGGAAAGATGAGTTTCATAATTACACATTTGAGTATAAATGTGTTGATAGTGTGTTAAACGCAATGTTTTGGGCGGATGAAACCGATAAGTTATATTACAAGGAGTTTGGAGATGTGATATCATTTGATGCTACATTCCGAACAAATAAGTATGCTCTTATACTCATTACACACTTTTTTTTAAGTATGAATATTGATGTTTTTTTGACTTCGTAATCAATATTGAATTTGTTTTTAATTACCTTTTTGATACAGGTATGGAATGATTTTTGTGCCGTTTACAGCCATTGATAACCACAAACGTTCAATAAACATTGGGGCAGGTTTGTTAAGCAACGAGTCAATAGAATCTTATCGTTGGTTGCTTGAAGCTTTTTTGAAAGCACATGTGAAACACCCTCAATTAGTGTTAACAGACCAAGATCCAGCAATTCTACAGGCCGTTGAAGCAATATTTCCTAATTCTAATCATCGTTTATGTATGTGGCACATTATGAAAAAACTACAAGCCAAGGTGTGTATATTTTGGCCTAAGTTAGCACGCAACATTTTTATTCAACAATGATTTACACAGTTTTACATATTTCTAATAACGATTAGCATACATATTGTTTATTCATAGTTAATCTAATAAATTTCTATTTTTTTTAGGTTTCAGCCGATTTTTTGAAAAACACTGATTTTCGCAAGCGTTTTACAAAGCTTGTATGGAATGTCTATATCGAGCCTGAAGTGTTTGAATCAAGGTGGAAACTGCTTATGAGAAAATTCAAACTACAGGACAAAAGATGGTTCAAAGACATGTACAGGGATCGAAAACTTTGGATTCCAGCCTATTTTAAAGACATGCCACTACACGGTCTGATGAAAACTACTTCAAGGTCTGAAAGCGTGAACTCATTTTTTAATAAATACTCTAACTGTGGTAATTTGCTTATCTATTTCATGATGAACTACGACACCGCAATTGGAAAGCAACGAAATGCTCAACAGAAACTAGAACATGATACAAAAAATGCAAAGCATGAAATGACGCTTCCAAGTGGCTTACTAGAACATGCAGCTGCGGTTTACAAAAAAAAGATTTTCTATGAGGTCAAAAAGGAAATATTTAAAGCAGCCTGGTACTGTTCTATCGACAGTGTTGAAAAGATTGATGGGTGGCAAGTTGTTATGATTACACAAACGGATAAGAGCAAACAGTTGAAGATAAAATGCAAGGTTATATTCATCGTTTAAATGCTTTTCATTAGTCATCATACAAGTATAATATCTAATTATTTTTAAATTACATATATTTTTTTCATTATTATGCAATAACCACCAACTAATATGTTACTTCAATCAGTTACTAACATACATTATTTTTATTATACAATGTAGGTTGAACTAAAGTTGCCTGAAAAAGAAGTTAAATGTTCATGCAATCACTTCATACGTACTGGCATTTTGTGTCGTCATATTTTTGCTGTATTGAAAAACAACCATATTGAAGAGATTCCAGAGCAGTATATTCTAAGAAGATAGAGTAGGGATGCAATTTCCAGCCATTTGTTTGCCATGAAACATGTTGCCATGGAAATAGAAGATGACACCTTTAAACTTTTAACAGAGGCATACAACAATATTGCATACTGCTTGGATCATTTTAAAAGAAGCAAAGAGAAATTGTTGGAGTTTGTTGAAAAAACACGTACGTTGAAGCGGACAGCAATTGAGTTTGCCAGTTCTAACCAAACATCATCTGATAACGATGAAGAAGAAATTATTCGGATGCTTGGAATACGCAGCATTCCTGATGAAATAAATATCCATCCACCTGCATCTATACGTACCAAAGGTAGTGGAACTAAGAAAAGAATGGTTAGTGCTATTGAGAAAGCCGTTGCAGCTGCAAAGAAAAAAACCAGAATGTGCACAGGTTGCAATCAATATGTTAACCATAATTGGAGGACTTGCAAAGTAAGACTTGCACGAGAATCAAAAGCAACTTAAAATTGTCCAGTCATTTTCCCATTAGATTTTACTTTTCTATTACACTTATGAATACGAATATGTTTCTATGATTTAGTAGGTTACGTTATCTTAAACCACTTTCATTACTTTTGAAGTTTTTATTTTATTCATAGATGAATAATAGCAATGCCACATTTGGTAATGCTAACAGATTAATGACAATATCTGGTATTTAAACCTCTTTTATTAGATTAAAACAGTTCGCACTTACAATAGATATACTTGTGCTTTTTTGAAATTATAAAACCATCAATCATTATATACTATAGTCATATACAATCCAAGCAATATTCATAGTTTATTGTATGCTGTTAGTAGTATATCTTAATACCAAATGTTTGTACGATTAACTTTTAAAATAGCTATACATCATATATTGATTTACGTTTGCGTTTGGGTAAATTTTAGTCATAAGTTTAACCATGGTTGACTTTTTAACCCTTAAGTGTAGTCAATAATGAATAACATCATAAATACATTAATTATTTTCAACATATTGATGATATGAACATTGTTAAATACTATTCTGTTTAAGATAAAACAATTTGCATTTAAATTAAAATATGTTAGGAATACTTCAAGTAAGTGTTTATGTTATTATTCAATATTTAAATAACAACATACTTTAAGATATAAACCCACCAACAATCATTATATAATATAGATATGTTCACTTTAACTATTAAAAATTCTGATTGTATGTTCATATTAAAATAGCATATTAACAAATGTTTGTTAGTTATATTCATTACTGAATATACATTAAAACTATACCATCAATGTTAATCATCATTTTCTAAGATAACTTAATTATTCAAATGTTAATGTAAAAATATAAATACTAAAATATCACTAGTTCATTACTAAAATTAGCAAACCAAAGGTAAGTATGTAGGTTGAACTAAAGTATAATATGTTAGGAATACTTCAAGTAAGTGTTTATGCTATTATTCAATATTTAAATAACAACCTACTTTAAGATATAAACCCACCAACAATCATTATATAATATAGATATGTTCACTTTAACTATTAAAAACTCTGATTGTATGTTCATAGTAAAATAGCATATTGACAAATGTTTGTTAGTTAGAATCATTACTGAATATACAGTAAAACTATACCATCAATGTTAATCATCATTTTCTAAGATAACTTAATTATTCAAATGTTAATGTAAAAATATAAATACTAAAATATCACTAGTCCATTACTAAAATTAGCAAACCAAAAGTAAGTATTGTACGTACAGCAACCCAAGTTAACATCCTTAGCATACAAAAGCATTGTTTTTAATCCATCCAAAAGAAACCATTAAAGTCATAACTAAAATTACTTTTTTAAAACAATTAACTTAAAACATCCAATCTCCTGTGAATTTCTTCCTTTGCAATGGCCAACATTTGAGAACGTTGTTTTGAAGGAATCTTGTGGAATTCATCAACCTTTTGCAGCACATAATCCTTTTGCACATTATATTCATGAGTGAGTATTTTGTATAAATACTTTGTCCTCAGTTTAACAAGTTGATCATCTTGTGCAGAAGACTCGTTCTTGAATCCAGCTTTAAACTCATTCATACTTCCCCCCATATATGTTTCCATGTGACGCATCGTAAACACACCACAATCAATGCTGTTGTTTATTGTTCTCCAAGGCATTTCCAGTCTATGTGGCATCACATGTGAAAACATCTCAGCTTTTGGATGATTCTGAGATTTTAAGTAATCAACTATGTACTCTTTCTGAAAATGTAAAAAAAACATTGTTAACACATATTAAATTTTATTAAGTATGTAAAGTAATTTTTATTAATCACTTACAATGATTTGGGGCAACTGACCATATCTCTCACCATCAGGATCATCAACTTTGCTGTTGTCAACGATTACAAACTCTGGTTGTTGTAGATTGATCACAAAAAGGAAAATGTGGAAGGAACGGATGATTGGTAGGAAAAGCTGCAACGTTTATTAATTACAATTGTATTCACTTTATTTAATATTCATATTTGATCAATGATAAATACACATGTAAGTAAATTGTGGAGATATATATCTTACCAGTCCAACAAAACGTAGGCTTGCGTCCATATCTTCAATAGAAAGCACCAAATTCTCAATGAATTTATCTTTACGTTGACTTTCTGTTAAACCACTTTCTAGATACGAATTCTGTGATCGATTTTTAAAAACTCGTTAACTTCTTTATATGTTTGTATTTAAAAAATAATATAATCAACATTGAACAATATTAACTTATACCGTCACATCTGTCTTGCAATAAACTCTCAGGGGCGATTCAGGTGCACGCTTACTTTCATCAAGATTCAACACTTGACTCCAACAATCAATGACATGGCCAAATAGTTCACATGTTGGAAAAAAACTTTCCATATGAAACCTCTGTGCAGAAAACCCATCCAGAGTGTGGAAAACTATATCACTGCAATAGACGTGAACAATTAATACTATTTTTAATGAGCAAACAATAAAAGTAAGTAATTTTAAAAATATTTTAAATGCAACTTACTTTGGATCTCCCTGGAGAGAGAATATCCATTCTGCTACACGTTTTTCCTGCCGTGGAACTCCTTTGATGATATCAACAGCCCGTATAACGTAAGGAGATTTCAGATATTCGGATTTCATGCGAGGCCTGTACCCTCTTCTACTAACCCAATGTTCATCTTTGTTGAATGGTACTACAGACAAAGGAATTGGCATTTCCATTTTAGATGGTGGTGTATTCTTAAAAGATTTTGTTCCAGATCTATTCGCGAAATCTGCATATTCCTGTGACATTTGAATACTACATTTTGCTAACGCGGAGTTGTCAAACTGTTTGTTAGTTGTAGCTAGAATCAGCGTACGTTCAATTTCAGCCTCGTTATCATACCACCATTGAGATTGTTCTGGTTCCTCTGATGCAGAAACTTCAGTAAACAAATCATTTACTTTGTTTTTCCATTCTTTGACCAACTGATTATCAGGATATTTCTTGACAGCATCATTTATTTTGTCTTCCAACACTTTCTTTTGCTGCAATATCATGTCGTACATCTCCTTTATTGTTGAAACAGTTGTCTAAATAGGTCACCACAATAGAATTATGTTACAAACCAAATAAAAATATTAATATGTCAGTTAGTATTAATTAATACTGTAGAAACTCATTATTCAAATGTGAATAGGTAGTTAACTACCTCAACACTTTCCCCACTTCCACTAAAAATATCATCTCCATGATTTCCCTACGAAAAGCAACACAATATTAGTTGTTGTACTAATAACTTATTATTTAGTTATGATTATATTATAATACTACCTTACACCTTACATCTCCTGCATCATTTCCCTATCAATAATTTATGAATGTAATTAATTTATACTATACCAAATAAACAAATAATAAATTTCATATGCATTGTTCAATACAATAAAATATTACCTGAACTTTTTCTTGCCCTACATTACCAGTTCCCGATGCTTCATTGATGAATTGAAATGGATCTTGCAATTCACCCATACCCAGACCAATTGTCCTACACTCTACTCTTTCTCGCTCACGTAGTTTATCAACACTCCAACAACATATTGCTGGTCTGCATCGTACAATCTTCACTGAATCGCATCGAACACTTTCTACGTATAGCAACTACAACAAAGACAAATAAAAAATGTTTTACTTAAATACACTTTAATGAATCTGCACACATAAGGCTACAAATATTGAATGACAGTTTAATTTAAAACAAATTTTACCAGCAGTAATATAATTGGCCCAACATAGAATCCTTTTTTGCTGTTTGGATTCCACGCACTTTTTGTCTCCTTAAGGCAATCAAAAACATATCCACACCAATCAATGTCACTTAGATCCAGATCTTTCGTCACTTTTGATAACATCGACAGGTCACACGTGCCCATGCTCATCGACTGACCTAGTGTATTACACAACAGGACAAAGATGTTTACTTTAAACATTAAATCCGCACGTGTTGACTGCATAATAACTTGTTGAACTGCCCTTGGTCTAATATTATCTTCATCTTCGAATTGTTTTCTCCAAACAGTTATCGTGTCATCTGTGACTTCTCTATAAGGCATAGACTTTATTGTAACATGTCCCAGAGGCAGACCCAACATTTCGTGAATAACTTGCCGATTGATTGGTATCTCTCCATGATGAAGTTTGAGTACCATCCTATCTGCGTTAAAATTCCTTACAATATAATGCCCCATAATTGATGCACACCCATCCACTTTCATCTTCAACAAATGCCCCAGACCAATAGAAGAAATATAAGCTTCCTGTTCCTTGCTAAGGTTATGCATACAACTGTACAAAACATTTGGAGATGTCCGTACTTGTATTCGCTTAGCTTCTTCTGCACCACTTGCTACAACTTTAGGATGTTTTCTTGGCTTCAACACATTTCCTTCTTTATTCCTTTGTCTTTTAAATTTCTTCACATTTTCTTTGTCATCATCTTTGAATGAAGTATGATG